CTTTTTGATTATGCTTTGCTAATTCATATGTGTCTAGCAATCTATCAGTTTCCACAATGATAATTTGTTGTCTTTCTTTCCTATCTATATTCCCTTTATTTCTTTCTCATGTCTAATTGTTCTGGCTAATGTTTCCAGATCTGTATTGAATAGGAGTTGGTGAAAGTGCTCATCATTCCTAATTTTAGAGTGAAAATTTTCAGTTTTGGATCATGTAGTATGATGGTGACTGTTGATTGGTCATACATGGCTTTCATCAGATTGAGATAAAGGCAATCACTTCCAGTTTTCTGTAAGGATTTTATGATGGTTGAGTGTTGAATTTTATCAGATATTTTTCTGGGTCTATTGAGATGATCATGTGATGTTATCTTTGGCTCTGTTGATATAGTGCATTGCATTTATTGACTTGCATATGTTGAACCATCCCTGTTTCCCTGGGATAAATCCTACTTCATCGTGGTGTATAACCTTCTTGATAATTTGTTGTTATATTCCATTTGCCAGTATATTATTGAGGATTTTTGCATGTATGTGCATAAGATTATCCTGTACTCCTTTTTTGGTTGTATCTTCCTCTGGTTTGGGATTCAGGGTAATGCTTGCCTCCAAGAATGAATTTGAGAGTATTACTTCCCTTTTAATTTTATTTGAGTTTCAGATTAGCAGCATTAAGTTCTCTCTATATTTTTTTTTTTTTAGAATTCAGCAGTGAATCTTTAAGGGCCTGGGATTTTGTTGGTGGATTTTTAATTACATCTTTAATTTTACTGACTGGTATTGAATATTTAGAATTTTTATATCTTCTTGATTTTGCTTCAGTAATTCATATGTGTATAGAAATCTATCCATTTCTTCTGTGATTTATATATTAGAATAAAGTTTCTCAAAGTAGGTATTAATCTTTTGGATTGCTAGAGGATCTGTTGTGATCTTAACCTATTTCATTTTTAATTGCATGAATTTGAGTCTTTCCCTTTTTGATATGGTTGGCCAAGGGCTTATCTCTTTTACTTAATAGTTAGAGGAACCAACCCTGATTCATTAATGGTTTATATTATTTTATTAGTCTCCATTGCATTAGTTTTTGCTCTAATCTTTATAATTTCCTTCTGGTATAAGTTTTATGCTTGACTTGCTCTTTTTTCTGAAGTTTGAGGTTCAAAATTAGGTTGTTGCTGGGAAGATAGCTCAGCAACATAAGCACCTGCCTGGCAAGCACAAGGGCCTGAGTAGAATCCCTAGTACCACAAAAAAAAAATCTTAGCTTGTTTACATGACCTCACTCTGTTTTCCTCATGTGACCATTCACTGCTATAAATTTCCTTAGTAGGATTGCTTTCCTTGCATCCCATGGGTTCTGGCACATTGTTCTAGAATTTTTGTTTAATTATAGAAACTGTCTGATTTCTACTTTACTTTTATCTGTGACCCATTTGTTGTTCAGGAGGGTCTTATTTAATTTCTGAGTTTATGAAATTTCTGTAGTTTCTTTTATCATTGATTTCCAATTTCATTGCACTGTGGACGATAACATGCATGGGATAATTTCAGTTCCTTTGAACTTACGTAAGTCTTTTCTGTGAACCAGTATATGATCTGTTTTGGATACTGTTCCATGCGTAGCTGAGA